TTAACAGATCGATTATTAGAAGTAGCTAGAACCACCTACTTACATAAGCCTGTTACCTCTCTTAGAGAATATGACTCGTTCTAAGTATTTACAGCCAACTGTCCAGGGTTTGCCTATCTAGTTTTATCCAACTAGAAAGGTGAGGCCAGAAAAGTGTTAGTGGTAGATCCTGTGTAAGTAAGATAGAAAGAAGACAGTTGATCCATTGAATAGTGTATCAACCTATCAGGAAAAGGCAAATATGAAACCTCAGTGAGTTTCTTTAGGTGTATTAACTTGTACATTTTTATTAACAACCCTTGTACATGTTAATAAACCTGGACTCAAACATGTGTGCATTATGATTTGTCTAAAGCCTTGTTAAGTAAGTATGATATAGAGCATGAAAAGGGCTCCTTTATGCTTCTGCTATTTAAAAGGACAATTTAATAGAAATCGCTAATTGGGAAAGCTTACAGACATTATCGGTGGTGAAGATTTATAGCTCAGGTAGATGATTTTGATTGAGTTTTATTCTCTGAGCTGGATGGTTTGGTCGTGGAGCAGATGCCGTGCAGAAGAACGATGAAAGCTCCACGACCAAACCATTTAGCTCAGAGAACAAAACTCCATCGTTGTTAAACCATACATCATTTAGTGGAATAGCATATGTAAATCTTTACAAAATAAATTTCCTACATTGAGCGGTAAAAGTAGAGATAGTGTACTTAGCTCTTGTCCGTGTTAGGATTCGTGGTCTTTCATCGTTTAAGGATAAGTATACCCGTCCTAGAGAATGACTTTTACATGACTAATTGAAACATAGGTAGCTGATCAATTAAACACTAACCGTAGAAATGATAGCCTACTGATCATTTCCGTGAATTTAGAATCGTTTCTTCAAAGTATTTGTATGCCTCACGAATTCCAATTTAAATTTTGACTCATTATTATTTACTGTCTCTTATTATTCATAGATTAAAGTTACTTAACTACAAATCTGTTACTTACATATTAACAGTGTTCATTCTAAATACACAAATCGTATGAATTTAGCGATTTTGTATTTAACCTATCGATCTAAATTACGAGTCCAAGTAATAGAGTGGTACTTGTGACTGATCTAACTTTAGTGTTCTAACTGGAGGTTTTTAGTTGTGGGAATTTCCTCGGTCTATCAATTGATCGTGTGGAATAACACAAGCAGGGAGTTAGTAAATTTATTGTTAATCAAAATAACTGAATATATGACGGAACATTTCAGCATACAAATTTTCTATTTTATTTCGATTCATTAAGTCATCATAGTAAAATGATTGATTTAATTTGTTAAAAGAAGCAAGTTTCCAAATAATCATGCTTTAGTCAATTTGTAATCTTTTTTAGGCAATGTATTTTACCATAAAGAAATAGTGAGGTATAACAATTTCTATTTGATTGGTCAAAGAATTGGGATAATCTTTATTCTTCATGTTAATTGTCCCTTGAAACATTTTTCTAACTGAAAACAGCTTCTACTGATTGATAAATGACTTATAAATCAGTAGTATTGTAGTGAACAAGAACAAAAGTGGGGACAATCGAATGTGTTTGAACATAAAACTACAGAATATCTTACTAAAATCAGAGAACCATACAGGGAATAGTTAATTTACAAAAGATCAATCGATTATCTCAAACTTGACTGTTTGTTTTGCAAATATCAGTCCATCGTCTCAGATTTTATTGTTCCTCCATTTTTATACCGATTGCTTTCTGTTCCCGTTCTTTCCTTCTTGATCTTCTATTGAAATACATTCTATTCCTGACTATCGTTATTTACTGGATATAAGTAGCTCACATCACAGTATCAACTAGATCAGTAAATGACTTAATCCAATAGATTAATTATGAAAAACATACTTCCATTAAATGCGTTATATAGACTTGATAGTTTGCTGAAAAAGTGATAACCATCTCTTTCCACTATTTAATATACCAAAATTCTATGTAAACAACCCTCAAGGCATATCATAAAATACTAATTAGTGTACTTATGGAATATTATGTATAAACTAAACCATTACAAATGAAATTATCTATGATTATTATGTATAAAAATTATACTTCTATCAGTTTAAGACAGAATAAAGACAATATATAAATGGTACTTAACCTTTATTTGTGGTGAGAAGTTCAATTTTAATAAAAATTTAGTCATATGTAAGCTATATATGTACTTTATTATACTAGTTATCTCAGTCAGTCAGCTACAATGTAGGACCAAGCACATATATGCATCGGTCCAAGTTGCCATACAAAAAGATCACCGAAATCATAGAAGTAGTTAATTCAATGGTGGTAATATATTAAAGAAAGATTGCATATGAGAACATAGTACAGGAAGAAAGAACTGGTTCGTAGAAAGAAAGATATGAAGAGATTTTAATTTCATATTTTAAAGGAAGATAAAGAGTGTATATACCGACGCCATTGTTATTGATTCTGGGCCATGTCACCAAGAGTCTCCAACCATTGGTTACGATAGTCACGCGGACCCCAACCAGGTAGTCTGCATCTACCAACATGGATCAGACTAGAAGTTAGTGACTTAAAGCACTGATGCAACATTTTGGTTTGGTCGCCCCTAACATTCTTCCAACCATCCCCAACACTAGTCAGCATTGCGCGTCATGGTAAACGGTGTTCAGGCTTACGTCCAACCTCACCAACTGATTTACCATCATTCCTTAATACCCTGCATCTAGCCTCACTGTTACTTGCCCGGTGATCCCAGCAGATGTAAGCAATATTTCTAAGACATCTGTGGTCAAATACTAGTAGCTAACGAATATCTTCTACTCCTAATAGCCACGTTTTGCTGTCGTAAAAAAGGACAGAACGAACTGCCGCATAGTATAATCGTCCCTTAATTGATAGACAGATATTTCGCCTTCACTATAGGTGATGTAAGTTGGCTAAATCCAAACGAGATATTTTATTTTCTTAAGTGTATTACCATAAAGGATAGTAATTTATTGGTAAATTAGGATATTAAATGTTCATGATCTATAAATGAATTAATAATTTCCTATGAGAATTTTGAATTTAACAAATCTAGACAGTAGTAGATACTCTTTAAAATTGTTATAAAAAAATTTCTATTTAACAGCTTACGCTATTGTTAGACTGAAATCAGTTATCGTACCAATGAAAATTAGAGAGGACTAGATAGTTATTTTATCCCAGTTTGTAGTTCATCAGCAGTACTCACAAGAAACCTCATCATGGATCGCGCTCAGGACCTTCGGGCCTCTCGATGAGCTCTTAATCACTAGAAATCAGTGTCCGTGACACTTTTAATTATATCAAATTATTTATAATCTCTCTCTCTCTCTCTATATATATATATATATATATATATATATATATATATATCTTCAAGATGAACTTCCTAGAGTTCTAGTGCTAAGCCATGACTAGTAGAGTTCAATCAGTGTCAGGTAGATGAAGAGTTGAGCAAGATCATGGATCAATTGAAGTTAAACATTAACACCATTAGATATCTGCTCAGTGATCTGTAGTTTATGCGTTCGCGCTCGAAACCGAAAGTTCCGGGTTCGAGTTCCGCGTTCGAAATCGTAGATACGCATGCTAAGACGAAACGGCCTTCCAATGTTTCTAGGATTTTAATGGTGACCAATTTATGAATTTAATTATTAAATTAAAATATTAACTTATGTTCTTTTTTTAATAAGTGTAAATAGTGCTTAATAGTTCATTTCCTTGTGTTTAAATTGTTTCTATGCTATAAACTATTATAAATTATTTCCATTCGTTCAAGTCAAGAATAAAAAGCTATCAAATATCACATAACATAATAATATCAATACTAATACTAATAATATTAATAATGACAATAATGATAGCTGTGATTTGGATTATAGAGTTTATGTTGTTAAAATTGCTACCTAAATTTGTTATTTTTCCACCTACCAACATCTCCCCATCAATAGATAACGGTATAATACTGCTACTATTACTAATAATAATAATAATCTTTTTACAGTTCATCCATTCCCAATCAATATTTCTGATTGCATTAAATATATCCCTCATTTTAGGGGTTGTATTTTCATTCCCACATAAATATATGTGCATAAATATGTGTATACATATATGTATACATAACATAGAAGTAATAGTCATAGCAAATAATTATCCCTGTTTCATAAGAATTGTTGCATACACCTGCACATAACGCACCTACATACATACATAAACACACACAAAGTGTGAATATCTTTACTGTGTGTGTTTATAATTGTGCAACAACAGAATGAACAACTTGAAAAATTATGATTGAATAAACCATTTAAATATAATGGTAAAATATCTAAAACATAACAATCTATATAATGATAGATGTGTACACATATAAAAATTAAGGTCATTTGCACACATTTGTATACATAGTTGCCCACTCTTTCACTTTTTTTTTTTTTAAGAAATTTTTACACAAATCCAATTGGATTTTTAATAAGAATGGTATTAGTTTTAAAAGTCACCATAACAAAATTTGTAAAATAATTTAATTGTGCTGACAAGATTGGAATTAGAAACTATACACAAATTAACAAATTATTTTTTTAAACAAACAAAATAGACAAACAATTAAACTACTAATTTAATTTGAAATTTATTCAATATACTACTTATTTCATTGACAATTGATTGAGATTATTATCAATTAATTGAGAAACAGCACATGTTTTCAATTGGATCACATCAATATTGATCAGAAAGTTTCTTTTTTGTTGTTGTTGTTGTTTTGTTTTGTTTTCCAGTATGAAACATTTTAACTAAGGATAAAATTATTTTCTTTAAACAAAATGTGTTTCTATAGTTTCGAATGAAACAATGCAATGTTACACACACACACACATACATGTACACACACACGCATACACATACTAATTAAGATTCGTCAGTTTTATAATATTCATTAATCTGTAAGAAATTTTTTTTTAATTTTACATCAGAGTTACAATGGTACAAATAATTCATCAAAGAATTCTACTAATGGTATTAATCAATTATTATCTCCATCTGGTGATAAATTAAATGGTATTCATACAAATTTAATTAAATATCCTGATATACAACATTCTAAATCTCATTCAATTTCATCTACATTATTATTACGTGATGCAAATTTATTAAAACCAACAAGTGTATATCGTGAACAAAGTCGTTCAGTTGGTGGAAGTTTATCTTGTGGTCAACCAAGTCCAACATCAACTGTTGAAGATACTAATACAACTGCATTTTCACCAACTAATACAAATACACTTGATATTAATAATACTAATCGTACTATTTGGTTATATCAATCTGAATTAAATTTACCAACAAATAGTGAAGATACTAGTCTTGATTCTATAATAACACCATATAAACGTTCTGAAAGTCAACAAATAACTATTATACCAGAATTTGATTATAGAAATCGTAATCATACAACTAATAATATTTCATATAATCCATACGTTACAAAATATAACTCTGTAAGTTCTGCCATGTATACTGGTAATAATACAAATCAACGTAACATTACAAATGAAGACTACATGAATAATTATGTATCAGGTAAGATTAAATTGTTTTACTCATTATATACATTGTGATCATTAATTAGAATCCAAGATTAATTAGTGGTTCTAATCTGCAGGAATATAACATTAACTAACATTTTCCTTTAAGAGTAATTCGAATTCTAAGACGTTTCAAATTATAATTAAACTCACTTTGTATGATTTATTCTTTACATGTAACAAAACGAATGGATGTAAATAAAAAATTTATGGTATCTTGAAAAAAACCTTTCAAGAAGTTAGACCAATGATTACTTATAATCGAAAGTAGATTTAATATAGAACTAATATCATCTAGATGACTTAAAAAAACAAGTAAATGAGAAAGGATTATTTAATGGTCATTAACTTTTCAATGGTACTCGTTCACGACGTTATAAGTGCACAACTTCAAATCTTTAAGGATTCATCGCTACTCTATTAGAATCTTGTAATTTACATTTTAATTCTCAGTATACTGACAATGATCCGAAACTGTAAGCGGAAAACTTTCATTTTAAATATGATCAATCACATCAAGCAAGGTTTTTTATTAGTACTAGTTATGTAGTATTATGTCTGCCTGGAGTATTACTACGAAAGCCACCATCCAGAAGATACAAATGTTTATTAACAGTTGTCTACACTTAATACTTCGGATCCGTTGACCAGACACTATCATCAACAACCCACTGTTGGAGAGAACAAAGCTGATTCCAGAGGAGGAAGAAATCAGGAAGAAGCACTGAATGTGGATAGGACACACATTGAGGAAAGCACCCAACTGTGTCACAAGACAAGTTCTCACTCTGAATCCTTAAGTTCAAAATAGGAGAAAAGGAATACCAGAGAACACATTACTCCGAGAAACGGAGAAAGACATAGGAAGAATGAAAAAGGATTGGATAAAACTAGGAAGAATGGCAGAGGACAGAGTGCGTTGGCAAATGTTGGTCGACGGCCTATACTCTATTGTGAGTGACAGGCGTAAGTAAGTAAGTTATGTAGTATTATCTAAACTACGAAAAGCTGCATAGCTTTATGAAACTGGATATATTAAGTAATCATCTTATTTATAATATAATATATGAATGGAGTCGAAATCAGCCAGGTGGAATAAAGATCATAATCGATTTTATGTAAGTATTTAACTGTATTTACCGTCCATCGGTTAATTCAATTAGCATAATACTTGGTAAAACATAAAAACAACAATTTTATGATGATTTCTTCATTGGTGAATATATTTTACTGAATCATTGCTTGAAATCATTCCTATCTATTAATAAGTATTAAGTAAAGTTCACATACTGAGTCTCTTTTGCAATCTATTTGAACGGAAATAGAATGCAATCTATATATTCCTATAATTTTGACTAGTTATTACTTTTAAATCTACCGGCTGTTCAATTTACAATGAAATATACATTATATAGTTTTAGTTGTTTGCATAAAGTACATTTAACTATACAGTTTGAAGTATCATTCTACATTCTTGTCTATAATTGATTGAGATGATTCTGTTAAGATTAATAATGAATTTTGAATGTAATTTTTGTTATAAGCTAATACTAGCTGGAAAATATCTTAAAATCAGAAGGGGTTTTGTGGAGTCCCATACTAGGACGCAACGGCCGTCCAGTGCTTCCAGGTTTTCCATGGTGGTCTAGTTTCAATTGACTCATGATTTCAACCAGGGAAATATCTTAAAAGCCAAAAGATATTACTAAACTATGAATTAATGTATCAGATGTATCAATCTTGCTGTGAAAATTCAATATCCTAGATTTCGTTCCATAGTTCATGTACAACAATATACATCGATGTGTATATTGGTGAATGAAATTTTAAAAAATTAAATCTGAATCATTATTTTTCTCTTCACTAATGTAAACTTTTTATTTGTTTGATAGTTGATAAGTGCACTATTAACTAACAATAGAACTAGGAAAGAAGATACGAAATTGTATCTTACACCATACTTTTTCAAATGATTCTTAAATAACTAAAGATGAAGATAAAACACTCCATTTTTCATTGTTACTCCATATATCACCAGTATTTACTTACTTACTTATTTAATTACTTACGCCCGTTACTCCCAATGGAGCATAGTCCGCCGACCAGCATTCTCCAACTCACTCTGTTCTGGATCTACCTTTCTATTTTTATCCAGTTTTGTTCATTCTTCCCATGTCTTTCTCCGTTTCTCGGAGTAATGTGTTCTCTGGTACTCATTTTCTCCTATTTTGAACTTAAGTATTCCAAGTGAGGACTTGTCTTGTGACACAGTTGGGTGCTTTCCTCAATATGTGTCCTATCCACATTCAGTGCTTCTTCCTGATCTATTCCTCCACTGGAATCCACTTTGTTCTCTCCAACAATGGGTTGTTGATGATAGTGTCTGGTCAACGGATCCGAATTATTAAGTGTAGACAATTGTTAATAAACATTTGTATCTTTTGGATGATGGTTTTCATGGTTCTCTAAGTTTTCGCTCTATATAGTAGAACTGTGTTAACATTGGTATTGAAAATTCTGATTTTGGTGTTGGTTGATAGTTGTTTTAAGTTCTAGATGTTCTTTAGTTGTAGATATGCTTCTCTTGTTTTACCGATCCGCGCCTTTACATCTGCTCATAAAATATATATCTCCAAAAGAAATTATTGGAGATTTTAATGTTTATTATCTTACCGAAATTGTCTTGAAAAGTTGTGTTTTGTAAAAAGTTAATTCTATAACATTGTTAACTATACAAATATGTAAATCAGTCTTTTTATGAAGTTGAAAAATCTACAAGATAATCTACCCTTCTAACATCGCATAAATGTAGCGTATGACTAGGTTGGGATGTAAACTGTGTTTTTGGTGTGTTCTACCATCTCAACTGTATTGTCATCTGGTCTTCAAGTGTTGTTCCAACACTGTGCTTTTAGTACATTAAAACTCTTATTTACATCTGATAATTACAGCAACTTTAACATCGTTTTCCTCTATACACTACTTACAAACAATCTTGTAAGTAAAATCTACTGAAAAGGTATTTTATGGAAATGAATAAACACATTAATTTACTATAAGTTATATATGTACTATGCTAGTTTCAAATAATAAACACTTCGATTAACGGATATTTTGACTAGAAAAAGAAATGATAAAAAATTAATAGTTGATATATAAAGTATAATAGAAAAACTAGAATGGAGTTAGAATGCTACCTCAAATTTTCACTAAATTATGCTTATGTTTAATGTTCAGTACTTAAGAAATTCATGTCAGCTGTTTTCATCATTAATTAATTGTTAGATTTAGTGAATTGTATGTACTAAAAATCTGAGGACATTCCAACAAAAACTGGTATTCTTTCTGATTATTACAGTCTTATTATATGTTTAATTACGTCTAAGTATGCGACAGTAACATCCATGGAAGTAATGAGAGACTAGCTAGGACTAGTTATTTAATGTATAGCACAATGGCTACCTTTGAAAAAGTGATTATATAATCAAAGAATTTATAGATCAGTGTCCCAAATGAGAACACCATTTACTAATAAAGTGTAAAAATACCCTTATTGAAAATATCAACCAACTCAAAACCTGGATTTTAAGTTTGTTGCTGATCTCTTCCAACCAGCTAACGTCAAGGTGGACTGTGATATCGAGTCACTTAGACCAGTATTCACGTTACATACTAATCGTTAGAATTTGATTATTACTAAGGATTAATAGATGTGGAATGTCTTGCTACTCACTGATCAGTTAGTATTTCTAGAATTATACTCTATTTGTGTTCACGAAAACAAATATTAATTGAGATCATAGATGTTAGAACGCCAGTGAAAACCTGGGAGGACTGGAGGGCCGTCTCATTCTGATATGGGACTCCAATGGAGTTTAACTGTATCAGGTGTGAAGCAGTTACTCAACAAAGACAAAGGAGGATGGTCACGTACTATCATGGATCGGCTGAAGTTAGACATTAACACCGTTGGATGCCAGCCGGCTCAGTGGTCTAGAGGTTAAGCGTTTGTGAGAGAGACCGAGGGTCCTGGGTTCCAGTCCCTCCTGCGGGATTGTGGATAAGCACTGCTTGGGAATCTTGTATTAGAACGAAACGGCTGTTCAGCGCTTTCAGGTTTTCAATGGCGGTCTGACATGTGTCGGTTCATATTTTAATGACAATTCAACAATTTCCACAACACCTAACTGAAAACAAATGTGCTGAATAAGAATAATAATTTACAGGACGTTTATTTTGTATTCAATAGATATTTTAAAAGTTGAAAAAAGGAATACTTACAATTGATTTATCACTGAGCAATGACTTATTTCCTGTTTTCCCAGTCATTTAACGTTGATCGAATCCTATCGATCAAGCCGCAGTGCAACTACTAGTCCTAGTGACTCGACATCACATATATTATAATGAGGTATGAAGTAGGTGAAGATAATCGACGGGGTACCCTGTTTGGCTTATGTTTCATACTATTTAGCATTCGTCATCGATTTTCGCCCGTAAAATTAAGAGAAAAGGTACTTCTGTGTTGGAATAGACTAGTAACCATACTGTAAGTTGATCAACAGTATTCTTCCACCAATAACCAGTGACCAGTTACTCGTAACTATTTCAATCCTACGAAGGAGATAATTCGTGACCGGAATAACTCATTAGAAACATCTCAGATTGAAAAATAGAATGACAAAGGATATAATTCTTCATTGAACATAAGTCTTTTTGAGGTTACGGGTTTAACTTGTTGATGAGTGCCAAATGCCACAAATCTAATTCCAGCATTTCCAGTTGACTATTTTCAGCCACCTGACAAACGGGTTTCTGCAAGAGTATAATAAAAATCATCTTTAGCTTTTATGTTCCATAATATTTTGAATTCAGTAATTGAAATAAGACATTTCCATAAGTAAATATAAATGTTACCTACAATTAAATAATTACGCAATAGTGAAATATGCTAAAACTAAATTTTAGTTTTGGATATATAAAGATGAACCAATGCATCTTTAACTTAATTAGTATGAATGTAAATAATAGAGAATAATGACTGGTATTCAGAAGCCAATATGTACATGTGTAAATCTATGAAAATATTGAGGTAAATTAAAAAACTTTATCAATTTTTTGAAAACAAAATATTTTGCAAGAATATGGTAATTTGTAAATTTTGGAATTTATGGTTTCTAGCATTTTCAAACTTTATTATAATCTTTATATTATTTATATTTGGTGAAAAACAATTACCTTCAGTTTCTTTAAAAGCTGGAATGAATAGAAACAAAACACATTTTGTGTAAAATAAAAGAAGAAACGGTAAACTAATGTGAAAAATATTTAATAGTTGAATTCATGAGTCAGTTAAAGATAGACTACCATGATAAACCTGGAAACACTGGGTGGTCGTTTCCCCTAAGTATGGAGCTTCTCAGTAGTGTGCATCTACATTCCGGCACACGGGACTCGAACCCGCGAGAAAGTCCAACTACTGAGCTGAAACACAACGATGTTAATATCTAACTTCAACCAATCGATGGAGTTATGCAACCGTCCACCGTTGTCTTCGGTGACTTATTATCTCACAACAGACCCGATTGAACTTCACTGGTCATGGTTTCTCACATGGACTCCAGGAAATATTTCCTGAAGCCAGTCACTAGTGAGTATATGATGAATATTATTAGAAAGGGATTTTGTGGATATTATATTAATTTAATAAGGATATAAATCTAACATCTTTTTATATACTATGAATGTTAATGAGTTACGCAGCAAACCCTTAGCATTATCAAAGAATATATAGATTACACTTTAAAACATGAGCCAGGTCATTCAATCTCTTTTCTCGATGTGCATCTGATATGGAGGAGTGATGAATCTTTGAAAAGGTCTATTTACTGAAAAAAACATGTAACAGCTAGCTAATCAACTCCTATATCTGGGTTTCACTAAGAAAGAAGAAGAATCCTATTCACTCTTTGTTTCACCGAACACATCAGTTATTCAGTACAGAATGAGTTAAATAACGTGTGTTTCTTAGAAGTTGAGCTGAAAAATGCTAGCAAAGCTGCTTCATAGAGAATATATTTATATATACCATTGTACGGAGATCCCTTCTTGAAATTCTTTTTTTTAATGTTTAAATAGTAATTATATATCAACACAATTTATTACAAAATACTTTCTAAATTTGTTGATAATTTCTCTCTAACTCCATAGTCCACTATTAGAGCAGTGTCTTGATATTCATCATTTACACACACTTCCAAACTATAAAAATGAGTATCCTCCTTTTATATTGAGTTTATATCGCTTTGTATTATTTTCCAACAATTTAGCATCATGTATTATTCCTTCTGAAAAGAGTTTTCTCAGAAATCTCGAAGAACAGCTTTTAGGATAAGAACTTGATGTGAAATAAATGAAATTTGAATAACAGTTGAATCCAGTACATGCGTTTCGTCCTATTTGGGACTCGTCAACTAGAGGTATCTGAATCTCAGAGTTGATGTTCACTCCGGGACTTGAACCCAGTACTACTGCTAACAAAATTTCATCCATTCTATATCCACTTGTCTTATAATGGTTAACATTGAAGGAATCAGAACAGGATGCCCATATTAGCTAAGACTGATCAAAGTTTAGTAAAAAAAAACAAACCAACAACGAGATAATTCACATCATTTCAAATTGAACTTAATGTAAGAAGTTGTAATGTTGTGATGTGATATTAAATATAGTTTCTGCCTTGTCATAATTCATACAATATATGTCTATTAATAATCAAAACAATCACTTTGTCTACAATTAATTTATCTTAGTATTTTCAGCGGAATACGTAGATGAATGATCCAGAAATAAATATTATTCTATAGAATTACATTTTTACTACTGTCTAAACTTATATTACATTTCAATGAATCAGTGTTTAAATAAAGCGGAAAATTTTGATAGGCGCCAAAATAAATTATTTGACAGGATTATCTTATTAATTAAGTTTCAATGTTTTCTACCATTATATTTTATATGTGAAAAGAATTTGATAGACAAATTAGAATTTACTAAGATTTAGTAAAGTTTAATTTGGTTTAATATATAGTATAAGATAAACTTCATCAGATGGAGTCTATGTGTAATATGCTTGAAATGTTAAGTAATTTATTTTAGTTATAATTAATAGTTGATATTATTTTGGTGTGAGTTACTTATATCTACATAAGTAGTATATAGCGGTGGTCAGGCATAGAATGTATTTTAGTAGAAGATCAAGAAGGAAAGAACAGGAACGAAATGCAATTGGTATGAAAATGCAGGAAAAATGAAATCTCAGACAATGGACTGATATTTACAAAGGGAACAATCAAGTTTGAGACGATGGATTAATATTTTGCAAATTAACTATTTACTATATGGTTCTCAGATTTTAGTGAGCTGCTCTGTAATTCCGTGCCAAGTGTTTTCATTATCCCTACTCGTGTTCTTGTTCATTATTTGAGTAGACATAATCTCTGGGATGAGGGGAGATCCGGCTGACGATTCCTGGATGGGATGAAGCGCGCATCTTGGATTTAACTGCTAGCCACCATTCATCTTTGAATACAATTTAGTTAGGATTTGAAGAAAAGTCATGAATATCTTAGCGAGTCCAGTATTGAAAATCATTGATAAGATAGATTTACTACTTTCATGAATAGCGAGATTTAGTGAAAGACAATGATTTTTACATGAAAAGGGCAATAACTTAAGGTTATTTAGCTAAAGTCTAATGACCCACATTTTCAACTTCAGCCAGTGAATGATATGATATTGTCTTAAAGAAATATTATCGATGATAAGTCATCAGACTCAGGACTTGACTTCACTATCTAGCTTCTGAGAAGCCTCATATCCTTACGAGACTATTGTCTAGTGCTTACTGATTGTCTAGCTTAAGTAAGTCCATGATGGTGGTTTCAAATATATGTTTAATTCTGACAATGATATAATTACACAATTATTAGAATGGCTTTAAATTATCTGTTCCTAATAATAATAATATTAATATTAATGATAGTAATAATAATAATATATCATCCACAGTCAAATAGTTAATGTCTAACTGAACTCAGTAGCTCAATGAATAACGCCTTAGTTGTTCAAATATTAAAGGTATTAAATTAGTGTCCCTGTGTAAAAATTAAAACTGGGATACAGGTTCATCCAGTTTATAAATCTCAAATAAAACGAAACGAGCGTCGTGGATTCAACTTCTAGTCACAATCTATTTATTCAGTATTATTTTCAGTTTGTGTTTACCTAACTCTACGTGTTAACTTCCACGTCAGTTATAAGTATAAATGAATTTGGTTAAAGTTTTATTTTAGTATCCCATTTCCTAATATATTTTTTCAAGCACCTAAAAGACGGTACTGTAGCGAACGCGAACACAGGCAGGGACACAAAATTACAGAATCTCTTAGTAAAATTTGAAAACCATACTGTAAAGACTTTATTTGCAAAATGTCAATCAATTGTCTCAGACTCGATTGTTCTTTCGTCTCCACATTAATTATTCTCTGTTCTCGTTTTTTTTTCTTCGATCTTAAATTTCTGCCGCCAGACATTTCATTTTCAACTGATGATACATACTACTTATATCTATCAATATCAGTAGCATACACAACAGTACGATTAATATATTTGTTCATGCCTATATCTAATATTTTAAATGATTCAAATTACAAACAATAAACCTTGAGATTATGAATCATCTTTTTTAAATAATAAAGTGAGCAATACTTTCCTGATGTACAAATAGTTCGTCAATTAATAATGATTGCTATAATAAACGTAAACTTTATTATGTCTGTTGGTTAATGACAATCTCCAGTTTGACTTAGAATTAGGTTTCTTTCTAGTTAACTTAACAAATTTAATAATTACCCAGTGCTTCAAAGTATTCAATCATTTTACGTAACTGTTTTATAAAGAAAAAAAGTTTCCGCCTCTTTTCGTTTGTATTCTTCACTATCTAATTATTTACACACTTCTTATTACGTAATGGATCTAATGTTTTGTAATGACTATTTAACCACGTTTGACCTTATATATCCAATGTTTAACTATTGATAATACTTTTCAATAGTTTAGATCATGAGTCAGTTGAATCTAGACCACCATGAAAAACCTGGACGCACTGGACGGTCGTTTCGTCCTATTGTGCGACTCATCAGCAGTGCGCATCAACGATGTGTCTCTCAATTTCGTGGATTAGTTAAAGTTAAACATTAAAACCGTTGGATGACGGCTCAGTGGTCTAGTGTTTAAGCGCTCGCACGCGAGACTGATATGTCCTGTGTTCTAATGTGGATGCTCACTACTGAAGAGTCATACAATAAGACGAAACGACCGTTCAATGTTTCCAGGTTTTCCACGGTAGTCTAGCTTCAATTGACTCATGATCTCAACTATTATAATTACTACAATCTCCACAAAACCTCTTCTGATAAGACTTTTGTAATCGTATTTTATTATTCTTACTACTATCAGTACACCTGTCTTCCTACTATCAAATTGTACTTTTATCTATTATGTGTGATGTCTTATTCTATTTCATTGTGATTATTGACCTAAATTACCTTGATTGGTTTAATATTTTCCTATAAATATTCATGTATATTAGAGTAAAGCCTGATGACGATTTAATTGAAAACAATTGTTCGCTTATATGTGTTGTTTTAATTAAATCTTTACTTGCAACTTCTATTCATTTATGTGTATTTTATAAATTGTTATAGCTAAATTATATTCTTAACAAGCCAAACATACAGAATTATTCTGATTTTTATACAATTTCATTAGGTCCAAGCTTTCGTAAAATTCAAACTCTTCATAATGGAAATGCAACACAGAAACGTTTTCCATCAGATACTACACTTAATTCAACAACAAAAGAAGGAGCTCAAGTAAGAAGTGACAGTTTTATTCATTTTATCTTAAAAGTTGAAATTGATCAAAATATTCATATAACATAACAACTTATCAGTTAATTACGTAATCATTATTATGCGACCTGATCATAAAGTCCAATTTAATTCTGTTTAATTAATTGTAGTTTATTAGCTTATATGAGTGACTGAATATAGTAGTTTACATTGATTGATGTTATATATCTGGCATACCATTGACATCCCTCGTGCTTTTAAAGTTATTAGCAGGCAAAGTATTACGGCTTCTCACCGATTTGAAAAAGCGATCGCATTAGAAACACTCAAACCGGACCTGTATTCAAAAAGAGACAGTAATTAACTTATCACGACCCTGGTAATCCATTTTTTGGTTATTAGTTTTATTTATTTATGAATTTTTGATTGACATCATGAACCGATTGATGTTAGACCACCATTGAAAACCTGGAGCACTAGACGGCTGTTTCCTTCTATTTTGGGACTCCTCAGCAATGCGCACCCACGATCCCGCTTGCGGGATTCGAACCCAGGGCCCTCAGTCTCGCGCGCGAACGCTTAACCTACTCGACCATTGAGCCGGTACCCAACGGTGTTAATGTCTAACCTCAACCAATCCACGAAGTTGCGATACCATATTCCATTTTACTGAGGAAGACACCTGTTTCTACCCGACACAGATTAGCTCCACTGGTCACGACTTCTCACCAGAACTCCGAGGAGTCCCACAATAGGACGAAACGGCCGTCCAGTGCTTCCAGGTTTTCAATGGTGGTCTAACATCAATCGGTTCATGATCTCGATTGAAAACTTGACAATCTCCACAACACCTAAATTGATATTAATTTTTGGTTTATTTGTTTTATTTTGTTAATGTTTAGTTTGTGTTATATTCTTCTTAACTACCCTTTTATTCACACATTTCCGCTCACTCGATTCCTTTAAATTATGTGAACTCTCCGAATTTCTATTTAGTTATTACGTAACCCATCTTATCAGTTTTTTTTAATTTCATTAATCCTTCATTACCTCTAAAATTACTGTACAACTTATCTTATCTGTCTCTGAATTCCACTCAACTATTACACCACCCATCCTTACTTCCATATTATTTCTAATCTCAATGTAAAATTCCAATACATATTTGGTTGTAAGCAGCTGATGAGGAACCACGAAATATAGTGAATTAATATTATTCTGCATCTATGTTTGTTCTGGCTTTAGTTAAATTCATAAAGGGAACTAACTGCATGATTAGTTTAGATCAAACATTTTTTCCAATTTAGATCCTTTATGAAATTCAAGTGAAAAGTATCCATATTTGTTTATTGTGATAAATAGAATACAGAAAAGTTTTCGAATGGAATATGTAAAACTCATAGGTAAATACTTGATTTTATTGTTATACATCTCTTGAATTCATAGTTAAGTTCATTAATATGTACTTGATCATACTTGTAAATCATGCTTGGATGAAAATCAGAGCCCAAGATAAACAATAATCATATCTTAAGTAGATAATCTTTTAAACTTTGTTTCTTACTATCCTTCAATTATTACGTAACTTTAAATTTCTAATTTTAGTACACCTGTAAATGACGTAATAATTCCTTTACTTTATATATAGATCACTATGTATAAAAAAGTAACCATAGATACAATTGTCCAATTCTAGTAAATTACATCACTGAAACAAAAATTTCTACACTGAAATATCAGTAATCCATAGAATATTTATTATCCCCATAACAGAAACCCAATTTTCTCATTAAATTATCCATTTAAAACCATAGTATTAAACACTAGAAATTAGAACAATAATTTCTAAAAATTAGTTCAAGAATTTGTTACTAACATGTCAACTGATATATATTTATATATATTCTCTTACATATCTTGGTCTAATTTCACAGCTGTTTTTTTCCCATTGTATTTATTGTCTATTGGCTAGAGTTGTTTATTTTTTTCCATATTTAGTTTTATCAATTTATACATACTTGTTGTGCTCTATAAGTTATTGATCCATATGTATGGCAACCAATGACATAGTTTCAAATCTTTCTATAAATGTCACTCTTTAAATTAGTTACTAGTACCTTAAATATATTTATTCCTCCTTTTTTTATGTTATTTTTAGTTTAAATATAATTAGCTGTTATCGGAATTCAATATATAACCTTGTAGATAGATAGATAAGACAAGATATTTTATTATGATAGATACTTCGAAAGAGATAAAGAGTGAGAAGAATGTCATGACATTTCGATATAATTTAGATGATTGCTTACTGACTTCTAAGTATATTTATACCTCTAACTGTTTGAATGCCTAGTTAGAATGACAATAACATTGCAATATCATATTACATAATTTGGTGATAAAGTACCTTCAAAAATATTTTACTCACTGTGATGGCTAGCCCTATGTCGAGTACACATAGGTTATTCTAGTTTCTGGACAAACTAATCTATTCAATTCCTGTTAAACCACATTTTTAATTTTTTTTTAATTATTCACTTTGTCTTGCTTAGCTTTTGCCCTACCTTGTTTTGCTTCGATTCTATTTGACTATAAATATTGACTAACGCTTAATTAAAGGGAGTTGATTCACATGCCTACTTTATTGAGCGTCATTTCGTTTTGTTTAATTCTATGCGATTCTCTGATTGCCTATTTTGAGCAACGATTGTACAAAATATGCGTATTCAAAACTTTATTCTCGTATTTGACCTATTTAAGTCCGTTATTCACCACATTACTATCAATGATAAATAAATCTCGATAATAAAAACAATGAGTTACTCATATTAACTTATTCTCCTTACATTCGTTATTAGTTAAGACATTAAGAAATTTACGAGGTTACTCCTGTACACTTTACAAAGTAATGCTACACAACTGAGTATGGCGACAAATACATTTATACTGGTTTAATTCAGATACATACCATCAGAATTAGAACTTCTAAAATCAAACCGATGAAATGTTAATAATATAAACTGATTGAAACTTGCTAATCACTTAACTATAACCATCTATGAGTGGAAATTGTATGCATCTATGATAAGTTGCATAATTTAGCGATCAGACTGTCGACCAACCTAACTGGATTTAATTAGCATTGAAAATCAGATTATATAGTGCTTATAGACTGCCAGTAATGGCTCTGGTACCAGTGAGTATTGGTAATTGCTCAATCTATTCCCAAGCTTAAATATGTGGTACTTCAGGTTCATTTGGATAGAATAAAATAGCACAATAAATTAAAGAAAACATTGAATGATTTTACTACTAGAATCAAAATGCTTTGATAATTGATTATTGTTGAACACATAAATATAGTCCTCAGTGCAAACGATTTTAACAAATGTGAATAGATTACAGTATAGCCGTTTGTTAATTGCTTTGAATTATTTCAATGTTTTTTTCTGACTTCCTATTTTAATCGGATGCCTAAAACTTGTGGCCGACATTAAAACGACTGTAGGTTTTCCTTATTCCTTATAATAATCTTTGCGGATATGATCATAAATAATAAAAACATAATTACTGGTTTAAGTGTTATTGAAATATGTGCTTATTGTGCATAGGTGAGCACTTTTCTTCGGCCAAATATGTAAAGACATGTCATTCTAAGAAGCAAATCATCTCATAATAATACCGAAATACTAATACTACTATTACTACTACTACTACAATAATAATAATAATAAAAATAGTAATAATAATTAAATTATGCTTTTTTGCGGGTGGAATGTAATTGGTAGATAATTACAAGTATCGGAGGGTATTACCATATAAAATGGTTGATGTTCTCATGAAATACAGTTTGCAAAACATAAAATATTGTCAGTAAACTACTAAATCCAGTTTTTCAGTAATTTAAACATTCTAAATCATTGGATTTCAAGTCAGTAGCCTACAGCAACACACCTTCCGTAAGATCTTAATATCTTGTTTCTAATCTCTGGTATGTTTTTGAGTAGGTAATTTTAAGGAGTTTCAAAATTAAGCAGAACGGTTGTCCAGTACTCCCATCGTTTTTAAATGTTATTTCAACTGATATAACTTTGTGATAGAAACCGATATTAACTTAAATGTTTATGGTTATCAATGGAAATAAATTGTAATTCATCTAAGATAGTCACTACCTGAAAAAGATAAGTTAGTTTTATAACACTAGGATTATGTCAATTATGTCGCCATTATGAATGATTTAAATAAGCTAACAGTTGAAAATGAATAAAAAACAAACTGAGATATGTTTGTTAACGATTCATGTATTAAGACAGGAAACACATTCACAAATCCTATGTAACATAAATGAAGTGATTTCAATGATTTTCTTTTATCTCTTATGTGTTTTACATGAACACATTTTATGTTAATTAGTAATGGGAACATAGATATGAACAAATGGTAAAAATATAATTTATGGATGACCTTTGGGCGACGCCAGACTGACTTTGAGAGTATCCACTTGATAACTAGAACCAAATGAGTGTTATAAATTAGTGTGAGGAATTCGAATTATGATTTATAGTTGACGGTTAAGGTTAGGAATTAGATTTAGGGTTTTCATCACAAACTGACATCAGATTTAGTGCCAAGACTCTATTTAGGCAAATGAATAAGTGAATTTCACGCCAAAATTCGAGACCTGTTATTATATACCCGATTGGTTCATCCATAAATTATAGACTTCCCCGAACAACTTAAAATCAGCTGTAAATATTGAAATGTGGAGAATTAACTTCATTTTTTCAGTTGATTTCCGCCTATTTTTGAGAAAACACAATTACAGGAAGCGGTATTGTGTCATAAAGATCAAATGAAAGCATTTTATTTTATAATGATTCCCTTCTCTAACTGCCACTCTTTTTACATCCCTTCAAACAACCTCACTCAATAGGTTTTCACAACCCCATTAATTATGTACAACCTATCAAGTTATCATTTATTAATCCTATAATAATACACTTACTAGATTTAGTAGTTCT